CGTGTTCGTTGCCTTCTACGGTGCTTTGAATGCGCATGCAGGCTCGAGGGTCACGGGACGCCAAAGCGATATCGAAGGTACGACGCTGTCTCTCCAAGTTCGCGCTTCTTTAGGGACAGTGGAAACTCCTCCCTGTCGTTCTCATTCTGTGAGTGAATATAGCGCTCAGTGCATCGTCTACAATCGTACCAACGCTGCGCCATCAAACGATGGACGGACAGCGGCATGCCTTTTCCAAGAAGCACAAGAGGGCACAAACCGAATGCAGTGATTTCGAACGCGACTGTCGACTGCCAACTTTGCAGCATATCACTTACACTACTTCTTAGAAATACGATCCTCTACACCAACGGCTGACAATACCCGCGTCTTGTTCGTATACGCCAGAAACCAAAAATAAGTGACGTCACGGAGAACGATGCATGTCCATTCTTTCTACGGATCCCAGGGAGCTTAGATTGCACCCTGCGGAACACCTGTACCGTCGGGGTAGCGAATTTCGCCACCGGATCGCACGGCAGCCACCGCATAGGGATACTAGAGCGCCGACGTTTCTCAGGCGTCTAACGTAGCCTAACCTTTGGCGTCGTTAGCCCGTCCCTCTCAGACAATGCACGGCACGATCGAAACACACCTTTTGAAAGACGTCAGCGAAGCGAACTTTTTCGTGCTCCTCATAAATCATTAGGACACTCAAAAACAAATGCAATCAAAACGTGTACGGTTGAAACGAAGTGGACACAGACAGACCAATTTATTTTTTCGCCCCTTCACTGGAACATTAAAGGGGCGGTGCAACGATTTTATGATTAAAAGAATTTAAATCTCGTCATTTTTACCTTGTTTATCGTGTCCCAGAGAATAGAGAAAACACTTCCTTCATTAAAAATGTCGCGATTCCGCTGCAAAATCGCAAAGCAAAACTCGAGCTTTTTCCCCCACCTGCAGCCCCAAGTGGCAGCCGAAGGAACTACGGCGGAAAGATTACGTGACCTCGCTCGGCTCTAAGCTGCAGCCTAACGCCCGCTAATGCACACAGAGGGAGGGAGGGGAAGCGTCCTCCGAGATAGCACACGGGAAGCTACACGGCACTCCGAATGACGTCACTGGGAGTGCGACCAGGTGTGACCCTGAAGACTGGGAGTGAGTTGAGGGGTGCCCGAAATACCAATCTTTATCTTTTTTTTTTACGCAAAAACTAGGACACGCAGGCGAAATCGGTTTTCTGTTCTTTACTTCAGAAGTGTCAGGGGGCAACTTCCACAAATCTTTGACCGAAGTCCGAAAATCGTTGCACCGCCCCTTTAAACATTGAGGGAACCGTGTTTTTTTTTGTTTTTTTTTTTTTTGTGGGCAGAGCTTGTCCTGAAGTTAGATTGTAGCAGTAGTTTAAAAATTACGCCATCTTTCGTATCTTTCTCTCAGTCCCCCCCTCCTTTTTTTTTCATGACTCAATGTCACTCAGTTAATGCCAATGTCACCCTGGCTTCTTTTTCTTTTCTTTTTTCTCCGCGATTTTCTAAAGGAGATTTTGCAGTATTTTTGATTGAAGTGGCGCTATCCCACCGAAGGTGTGTATTTCTGTCGGTACTTTCGATCAGTGTTGTGGGCGTTACAGAAAAAAAGCAACGAAATACGTTACTCGGTATTTGCGAATTTAAAAACGTAGTACCAACCTACGTTACACCAAAATAAGCGGAACGCGTTACCGTTATTGTTAACCATAAAAAGTAATGTAGGCTACTTCCGCGTTGCGCTTTAATTACGAATTAAAACACTGCGGAGTGAGAGGGGGCCGCGAGAATGCGCTTTCTTCGACGTGCACACCCTCTGCATCAGGCTTGCACGCAATCCGTTACAAGTAACGCGACTACTTCTAATCCCTCGCTTCCATGTATCAGTAATGTTCTAAGGGAATAATTACATATTAAACAAAGTAGTGGCGAAGTGATTTCCTTCCTTCTTTGCGGAAGGGAATAATTGTAATCCGTTACATTTTAATATTTTTAAGTGCAAGTTTTATTGGATTCACTGTCATCTGCACATACAAAATGCAAGACCTGGCGTTCTTCAGTTGCTGAAAACCTTTCTTCACGTCCCCGAAAACCTCGATTCTAATCTCTTTTTTTGTTTGTTTCCTGGCTCGGTTGTTCGTAAATTCTAGCTCATCAGCTTGCTAGTCCAAGGCAAAAGGGGGACCTTACGTATACAAAGAACAGGACTCTCGGGGCAAACAGTATGACTCAAACTCCCGAGGTCAAAATGTTTCCTTCCAACGAAGAAACAGAAACCGTCGAAGGGCGCCCGCGTTCGTGTAAGGGACCTGTGCGCACCTTTTCTTTTCGTCCCTGGACTGCCTTGCTTTCGAAGACGTGGAGAGGACACAAAACGATCGTCGACTGGGCGCCTTCTAAGAGCTCGAGACAATGAACCCTCCTTGGCTATAGTGACTACGACAGTTTGCATAAGGTCACAACAGGAGGGGACGCTCCGCTTTTCGCTATGTACAGATTTTAGTTATTTATTATTTTTCTTTTCTGCCATAGAACCACCGTGGACCCCTTAGTATGGGCGTAACACCCTTATGTTTTGTGTCTTACCTTAGGACAGTAAGGCAGAAAGTAACGCCGCGAAAGTAACGGCTCTTGAACAGTAAAGAAAATGCCGGCTTCCTAGAAGATAATGCGTTTTAGTTTCCGAAAACATATTTTAGTTCCTTCGGCATGTGCGTATTTTGTTCAGTGAACGACTCGACCCCTAGCGAAGTTTATAAAATGATGTTGAAAAAAAAAATGAGGTCATAACTTGCGAAAACGAAAAATTGGAGCACAAACTATATATTGGAATCAACCCACTTTTTGTTTCGTTAATTTTGTAGGCCATTAAATTTCATGCCGAACAACAAAGCCACCTGCGTGAGCGTCTGCCGTTCGGGCTGGATACAAAAATCTAGAGCGCGTATTGTTGCGATTTGTTACTCAGTAAATGAAACTCATCCCGCAGTACTCGTAGCAAAGTCACACACAGCACAAACACCCTGTAGCTAAATAAATGACAACAATATTCATTGGTCGATTGTTAGGCAATGCGTTAGCATGACCCCTGGAAACGCCACACACGTTCCCCTCGGGGAAATGCCAACGCTGACGCTTTCATTTTTCTCTTTTGCTTCCTCTATTTTTTGCTGCATCTTATAGGCCTCTTTACGGGGTCAGTGTTAGCGCTTCCCAAAAGGGGGCGTGTGTGGCATTTCCCAAGAGTCATGCTAACGGATTCGCTAAGAATCCCCGAATGGATATTCCTGTGATTTGTTTTCATCCTTTTTCTGTATTCTGCCTGTCAGAGTATGTCGATGCCCTTGGTGGGTACGGTCATCCATACCACTCCCGAAAAGAACCTCGTCCATACCTCTCGTGGAAAGAACCGCATTCGTATCACTCGTGGAGTGATCGGCATCCATCGTTTTAACTACGCACACACATTGTAGCCCACGCACCGCTACTACGGAAACCCAGAGTGAAGAACAACCGGCGACGGCAGAGCGGCAACTGAGCACGCCAACTGAGCCGCGGCGCAACACCTCCTCGATACCAAATCAGTACTGCTAAATGAGATGGCGTCATCAGAGAAGGCCAACGCTGGGCACAGATTGGACGCGACGATTGCGTCAATGTTCCGCTTGACTCGAAACCGATTGCTGACGCAGCACTCCTTTCAATCTGTGTCCGGCGTTGGCCTTCTCTGATTAAGCAGTCTCATTCAGCGCTACGGCTTTGTTATCTAGGAGGTGTTGCGCGGCGCCTCCTGCTCTCTGGCTCCACGCCAGCTGTGCGCCTCACTTTGCCGAAAACGAAAGGGCTCGTTTTGACGAAAACTTGGCGGTGTCTTAAGTTTGTCAGCGTTGAGGGGGAGAAGGAGAGGGCGGCGCGTGCTGACGTCAGCGCTCCGGACCAATGGGAGCGTCGTAAACGTCACACTCTCCGCCTCCTCTGAGACGGCACCGAGAGGAGAAGGACACCGCCGGGTTTTCGTCAAAACGAACATTCTATGCCGTATGCTGGGGTAGTTGGTATTGGTCTTGGGTTGCCAAAGGCATGGTGGCGCTTTTTTGGACGAGGACAAAAGAAAGAAAGACAAGACAGACACGAGCGCTGACTGCAACTATTTAATCAACATGGAAATGAGGCATATATACACGCTTCGATCCTAGCCTGGGGTTGGTTGATTGATAGGATCGAAGCGTGTATATATGCCTCATTTCCATGTTGATTAAATAGTTGCAGTCAGCGCTCGTGTTAGTCTTGTCTTTCTTTCTCTTGTCCTCGTCCAAAAAAGCGCTACCATGCCTTTAACAACCCAAGAACATTCTAATGCTAACGCATCAAAAACAAAGCAACGGACAAGCGGTCACCTAATCCTGAGTTAGCGACTCCCGCGGTCCGCAGAATAATGCATCGTCCATTCTTTCCGTGGTCATTTTACCACATTTAGTGAATTATAAATGCTGCCTCATTCTACCGATTTCATAAGATCATACATAAGCCATCGTAATCCATCTTGATGAATTAAGATATCATATAAGTCAAATAGGATAAACAATGGTCTTAAGAGACCTTTGACTTATTTGGGGACGTCCAGACAATGCTCGCGGATTCACCAGGAAACTCCCGCTGAAAATGACGATCGTTGGATAGATTACTAAATACGACCGAAGCCTTTCACGGAAACTGAATGTGCAATGGGGCGACTGGCCCCATCGCACGTTCAGTTTATTGATTATCGAGGTTTATGATGGACAGAATAGGACACCAGCACTGCAGTCTCCAGCTTCCAGCGAACGGGCGAGTGACCCAAATACACTGAAGTAAAACCGAAATGCGGTTCACTGTAAGGGCATTAGGCTAACGCCACGCTAAAACCTCCATATGCACGAACAAGGTTGTCGCGTACCTTGTTTGCTTTAAAGTCCATCAGGAACGTGTCGCACACCGGGTACTCACCACTTTTGCTAGATGTGACATCGTCTACTCCGGGGGCCCTGTTCGGTTTCCCGGCCTCGTCGTCCGAACTGAGCTGGTAGTCGACGGTGTTGTTACTGTCCGAACCTTCCTCGCTGGCTTTGTCAGAGTCAGCGGGACTGGATTTCCAGCGACCCCTCTTTCTCTGACCGTTCCGGACGCTACTGTCGTCAGTCGGATCGCCGGTCGGGGCGACGCGCTTGTCCACCGTCTCCTCGCTGCTCGATTTGACCAGCTGTCGCGATAGTTTCCTCCTGCCGCGCTTCTTGGGAGCCTCCGCCGAGGAGCCACCCGCGCGCTCGGCGTCGCAGTCCGGCCTCCTTTCGGTGCAGCTTGACGCTCTCCTCACAACACCCTAGAAAAAAAAAGAAGGAATTCCACAAAAGTCCCGAGTCAGTGCAGGACTCGCACTAAAGTTGGAGACAGCACCACAGGAAGACTCTTTTACAAGTGCACAGGCGAGGCGAGTCAAAAGAAAAAACAAAACATCGGCGTAAAAAAAAAAAAAGAAAACTGACTTGAGTGTTAATGAACAAAATGTAAGGGCGCAAACGAGCTGTTGTACATTGCAAATGGTTGAAAAAAAAACCCGAGTCTGCGGGTGAACGACACAACACTAAAAAGTCTCTAACTAGAGACTTTTTAGTGTTGTGTCGTTTACCCGCAGTCTCGGGTTTTTTCCAACCATGTTGAGTGTTAAAGTGGTTATTTAGAAGGTCAGAGCGTTGGTGAAATTACACGTTAAAAAAACAAAAAAAAACCACAAAGACGGACACGATGACATAATTGTGTTGTGTGTATGTATGTCTAGACCCGACCGCATGACCACTTGTGCTTCGCTATGGCAGGTGCCCTTCACCGGGCGATGCCACAGAAGCAGTGATTCAGCTGGGTTTCCCGAGTTCGTCGCTGGAGGCGCGGCCCAGTGTGCTGGACCAGTAAGTACTTTTGCGTTACTCGGGCCTCTTGCCGCTCCCACACGTTCGCCGCCATCTACCGTGGCTTAACTGCGGCCGCTACTCAGTGCCACTAGGAGGCTCAGTAGCCCTCACTAGAGCCACACTGCGAACTTCTGTTTCACCCGGCAAAGAGAGCCGCTCGGTCCGCAGGCCCCTCCCATTGGGAGCGGGAACCAGAATACAGTGGCCGCGGTTTAGACAGCGGGAAGGTAATCAGCCCCAACGGGCATCGGGTAATTCCGCGCTGTGCACAAACAATTTCGCCAGTGCAGTACGAACGCTAGCCTGAATCTCTTTAACGTGCCTGAGGCAGCATTGACACAAGACTGTATACGCCGGTACGATGCTCATCCAGATCAAAACAGGCAGGTGTAGGGTTGGAAACCCAGGATGGCCGCCTGGTTTCTGCAGCGCGAGCTTTCGCTCCACGTGCACTGCGTTAACCATAGCCTCCGATACAAGGTATTCACTAGACGCCATATTTGAGGGCGATGTTTAGAGCGCATGCTCAGAACGAGCTCACATTAATAGCCTGCTAAGAGCGGCAACATTGATGGTGCTAAATGCACGCTCCAAAAGGACTGCGGAAGCTCGCCGTAAGCACACGCTCAGCAGCAGCGCACACGGATATGGCCGCCAGTGAATACTCCCTATAGACTGACAAAGTCTGGCATATCGCCACGAGAAGCGACCGCCGAAATGGAAAAGGTGGAACGGCAGACAATGCATGAGAGGAGGGCCACGTGACTGGCGCCCCGCTGCGGCGAGACGCCGAAACAGGCTTCTCCCGAGCGAACAAGTGTGTTTCGGGTCCTCGTCGCTGCAAAAGCTGTGCGCTGACGTCCAGGTTCCCCGAGAGATGGTTCTTTGATGCTCTGTGCTACCAGATCCTCGCTCTCCAAATCTGCGACCGGGCACTCTATGGCTCCGTCGTCGAACTGCCAGGCTTTGTGAGCATGGAGGATGCTATGCGTTAACACACTACGGCACAAATCCTCCCTGAGTACTTATGGAGACTCCACAGACTATATGAAGAAGAAAAAAATAGTGATTTGGCCGTTTCGTTTGTCTGGGCATTTCGAAATAAAGTATTTTCTACTTTGCGACGAAAGACATTCAGGTGACTTACGCCTCGTAAATAGAGTGAAAGTTTCCTGGAGTCGGATTTTGGTCACCGCGAGATATAGTTTGCCTCACACGAAGCACGCTTTGAGAACAAATCGCTCGCCGATGGTTTGTCTGCTAAGGGGGGCGAATAGCTGAGTATGCCTGCTTCATTGAAGGACGAAAATGGCACAACAAAACACAGAGCGTCGTCTAGAACTTTCTAGTAAGTGCAATAAAAATGTAACCCCCCCTTCCCTCCCCCCCTTCCCTCCCCCCCGCAAAACAAATCTCACTCCTCTAATCATTATTTATTTTTATTTTTGTGACCGCGATTTCGCAATAGCAGGTAATTTCATAAAATTGCGATAATCGCCATTTTTTTGTGATAGTGTGAGTTTGCAATAGCAGGTAAATATATAAAATTACGCAACTTCTTACTGTGCAAATAACATTAATGATTTCACGTTGTAAAACTCGTACGATACATAGGCGTATGTCAGTTGAGCTTTGGCCATGCTGGACGGCACCACCCTTCCTGTATTTTATTAGTACCTCGAAAAGTAACTCACAACCCTGCCGTCGATGCATTGGTTATTATCTGTAGCGCTTCAGGATGACGTAATAAAACCCGGAGAAATATTGCATCCCAAAATCCAAATTCTAGCGTGCGAGCGCGTCCGTCCAAAACCAACGTTTTCCTCCCCCGTCGAGGTCCGCCTTACTTCGTTGTAGGAACAAAGGAAACGGCAAAAAACATTAAAACAAATTGTGGACTTGAAATTTGCATGTTTGTAAGAATAAGTAATGACATACATCAAATATATATTTTTACGGCGATTTTCCACGTAGCGCATTGCGAATTTATAAATAAATAAAGAAAAAGACGAGAGCTTTTAAAGAGGCACTTAGGTGAATCCCACGATCGTCTTTATATGGTGATAACTAAACCTACGAGCTCGATTTATTTACAAAAAATACACCCATGGGCGGCCGATCTTGCTATTAAATATCTAACCAAAGACCGTGAGACGTCCCTCTTTCTGCGCCTTGGAGCATACACCAGGGGGCGCCGTCGGGCGGCCTTTTCAAACAATAGTTATCTATTTATTTCTAATACCCTGCAGAGCCCGCGAGGGCAATACAGTAGGCGACAGGCAAACCAAAAAATTACATCGAGACACTCACGTAAAACAAATCGATTTTTATGTCTACGTCTCCTACACCCAACAATTTTTATGTTTTCGTCTAAATAGAATGCACAACAAACCTAAAAAGATAATTGTAACCTTGGTAAGCTGCACGAAATGAACTATATTTATCGGTCAAATGTTATGGATGTATTAACGATCCGGTAATGCCCCCCCCCCCCCCCCCCCGGCCCCGCTAAAAGAAAATAGTGCCCGTGTATTTCTATTGCTGTGGGTTTACTGGACGTCTTGCCATCTAGCATTGGTAATTTTGAATGACTAAAGCTCAACCAATGATTTCCCGTCAAAAGCAAGGTTCTACAAAGAGAGAGAGAAGACTTGGGAAAGAGGAAATTCTAACGTGGGAGTTACAACCAGGGGCCAAAGCGTTCGAGCGCCCTTTTAAGTGTCAGCAAACACCGCTCCAAAAAGAACATAGGACTGAAAAATGGCGCGTTTTCTGCAGGCCAAGGACGGAGGCATGGCAGGCGCGGAGCGAAGGAAAAGGGACTGCGCGCCCGCAATAGACAAAAAGGTGACAGTAAAAATACAGACAAGTTCTCCAGAAAAAAAGTGAAAGCCGTTTACAACTTCCTGTAACGCCGAATTGGAGCGCAGCTCTTGAGGAGGAGGAGTGGAGGGTATATTCCTCCTCCTCCCTCGTGATCATGCCTGCTAGTCCTCCTCGCCTCCTGCTCCCCCTCCCTCTCCTTTACCACCTCCTCGCCCTTCAAGCTCCTCCCCCCATCGCCTCCGCCTCCTCGTCTCTCCTCCCCCCTCCTCCACCTTCGTACTGCTTTCCTCCTTGCCGCTCAAGCCGGACAATGAGGGGAGGAGGAGGAGAAGGAGGGGGAGGATGAGGAGAGGGAGGAGGAGGAGGGGAGGAGGAGAAGGGGGAGGAGGAGGAGGGGAGGAGGAGGGGGAGAAGGAGAGGGAGGAGGAGGAGAGGGAGGGGCGCGGTTACGCCGACGCCGACGCCGACGCCGACGCCGACGGCGACGCCGACGCCAACGGCGACGCCGCTCAGGCTGGAAACGGGCCCCTAAGAGCTGCGCTCTAAAAAAAAGTTCCTGAAGAACCCAGGAATCTTTAGGTTTTATCTTCACTCCCGCCAATTTAAGAAGAATAAACATTATAACGGAGTGATTGGCTGTGCCAATACTGCGAGATGCACGCTAGTAACCCCAGCCTAGCAGTCGTTGTGCACAGGTTAACTTACTCGCCTGTAGCGGAAGCCTGTGTCACTGTCACTATACCTGAAAGGCAGGCCGACTTTACATTGTCTAAACACGAACGTCTAATTTGCGTGCCTTTTGCCCAATTGAGTACATTTTCGGCCTCCCAGGAAGATCGTTGTGAAGAAACAAATACGAGGATAATAGCTCGACAGATGTTTCTACCATTGCCGATTCTTGACAATGAGTATTAGTTTTTTTTTAACAAGACGAGGACAATGTACCTTACGTGCCTTGATAAACACAGAACCCACGCCAACAAGATAGTCGTTCTAGCTCCGTGGTTTACAGCCAAGGTCGTGGTGTTCAATCAATGCATTACTTCATTGAATCATAGCGCATTAACTGCATAGGATGATGTCCCATTAAAATCACCTTGTAGGGTTATAAATGTACTACACTACATAGAAACTGTGTTACATAACACTGGATAAATCTCATTAAGGGGAGACATTTCTGAAAAGGACACTCACAGGACTGATTTTCTTGGTCTTTGAGTCTCTCAGCAACAATCGCTTCCGTTCCTTGACCGCTTCCTTGCCGGCTACTTCGGTTACTTTGACGTCCTCCCTGACACCTCCTTCAACGTCTCCGGCACTTTCCCTGGAAGCTGTTCGGCGGACCGGAGGCGAAACTTCTTGTTGCGCTACGGCACCCGCAGTCGGCGGTCTTTCGTCGGGTGATTTACACCCAGGGGCTGAAGGACGGCGGTTCCACCGCCTCGCGGGGGGTCCACTGGGAGCCGTCGAGCCGTCATCGATGACTAGGCTGCCTTCTTCCGGAAAGTCGTCCTCGGCATCTTCCGCCAGCTTCTTCTCCTCTTCACTGTCACGCTTCTCCATGGCATCCACGAGAGGTAGAAAAGGTGCAATGGCCTTGTGGTCAACCTCATTAGTGTCGAACGATCGCGCAGCTTGGCTTTCGTCTCCAGAGAGGTTCTCGTAGTTTTCGCTGAGGACATAATTGCAGTTTGGCAGCTCAAGCTTGACCTGCTTGTAGGCGGACTCGTGCTTGCCTTCGTCTTTGGTGGGCAGCCGTTTCGTGTCTATCATGATGGGGCGTCGGGACAACCTGGCCATCACCTTCCGTTCGAGGCATTCCCGTCGAAGGGTCTCGAGCAGTTCATTGGAAAGGACGCAGTCGGCGTTGAGCGGCGGCTTGGGCTTGCCATCCACTGGAGACAGGCTGTCGCAAACGTTCATCGGGGCTTTTCGGACGTCGTGGTCCTGGGACAGGCTGACGGTGATCTGCTGCATGGTCTCACTTCAAGGAAATAGTTCCAGGCAGTTGTGTCATGGAACCGCCAGCATGGAGAGGCGTGGAACTTGGGAGCTGGTGCCTGGAGAAAAAAAAAATGCTGCATTAACTACGCGTTTTTTTATGTGTCGACATTTTTGTTTGTGTTGAGAGAACTAGCGTAAATGGACGCAACATAGAAACTCGCACTTAATGTAGAAATGCCTGCGTGCAAATATGGTGTTGACGAGAATTTTGAAAGGTGAGGCATTTGTGTCCGGTCCTTAGGTTTAGGAGTCTGTATCGGCGATAACATATGTTTCAGCTCTATGCCTTCTGCAATAAAGCCGCCATCTGGTTCATCGAGTTTCACAGCTGCGGAACCGATGTTCTTATACATATATATATATATATATCGCAGAAATCCAACCCCAGCGTCCTCCCCCAACAATAGCCTTAGTGTTTCACATGTAGACGTACTAGCAAAGTATTCGCCACATTACGAAGCGAGAGATACAAAAGAAGTCACTTGCAAAGGTCAACATCTTATGTAGATGTAGAGGTTGAAAGGGCCTTACAAAGCATTCAGAATTCTCCCGGCATACGGTCTGTAGATGTCCACAAATGCGTTCGGAAGCTGCATAGCCGCAAGCGCCCAAACGTTCATCAAAGACAGCACAATTTCAATTGAAAAATAAAGTAATACAATCCGGCGTTTGTTTAATAAAAAATAAACGGTATTGAACTTGAACTGGGGTCAGCCACAAGTTAGCGTTTCGTCTATAACGCGGTTGAAATGACTGTCTTGTGTACTGCTTAAACGATATACACATCTACTGGTAAACTTAACATTCTCTTAGAATTGACATCTATAAAGACTAATTCGGTCTTGCTACGGGAATGTGCATGCAATTAGAAATGTCACGTTTCAGCCTTCAACATATGTTTTCCTTAATTGCGCAGCATTTAGTGATTCTTTAAACAATACTCTAATAAAGTAAACGGGACCGTTAATTTTTTAGAGTAATTAATAATTCAAAGAGTTAGTAAAAGACAATGACGCATTGATCATTATAAAAAGATTCTCTAGAAAATCCCCCAGTGCACAATAGGGGATAAACGTAATTTATATTCAACGATAGCTACGCAGCATCATTACATAATTAATGAGCACCCAACCATCATGATTTCTGGAATTCAGTTTAAGGGAAGAGCGTTGGCGGTTTCCTAGTTCATAACAATAACCAAAACAACATTAAAAGGAAAAGCCATCGTTTAACTCAACATCTTGTGCTACGTTAAATCATTTCGGCCTACATTCCGTTCAGTTTTAAGTCTCTCATAACTAGTACGAGGTTCATGCCATTTGTGCAGCATTACTAGAAAGATTTTCCGTAACAATTCAGCCGCCAGGTCACTTCAGTCAATATGTTGGGGGATGTAACTGGTGTTCTCCCTCGACGTAGATGCCTCCTTATTCGATGGAAAACGAGCTACCGCAAAGTACTATCAAAACAATTTTTTCAAAGAAGTGGACTCGTACTTTGCTTCCTCTTTCTCGGGCCGACACACTGACTTCAGAGACGAAATACTAACGTAGTTAGAGTTGAGCAGAATGGACAACTTCTCGAGCTGATACGCATTCATTTTGAAAGAGAGACACGCAAGTCGGTCAGAGTAGAAAACAAACCAAAAACTATGGTTGTTAAGTGACTGTTACTGAAAGGCCCAACGTACACTTGTCGCTTTCCACTTTTGCCCGCTTCCTTCTTTCCTCTGTCACTTGTTCCCTTACCCCAACTTGGCTCTACTCGCAGTTTAGGAGAGAGGAACGCTCAGAGGATCCCTGCAGAAGACCGAGGTTGTCCGTCGGCCTTAAAGGTATTCTATGCCAGTCGCTCATCGAAACTATTACCAACAGCTACAGGGCAAGCCGCATTCGTTTCTTCGGGACAAAATATTAACTCGACACTAGGCTTCAGACGCCCGATGGCCCGTCGAACTGTTTAACCGCGGGAAGCCTCACTACAACTTCGAGCAACACGTACTTACGTATATATATATATATATATATATATATATATATATATATATATATAGATATATATATTTCTTTTACGAACAACCTATAATCTTTAGGATCATGTTTTGGCTTCGCTAAAAGCACCGGACCTCTCAGAGTAACAGCAATTAGGGAGTCATATCCTCCATTTCTGCTTTTAAAATGGCGGACAAAAGGGAAGCTCTGCCTGACTCATCGTATACTGGGGGCGGTGGAAGGTGCTCTGAGCGTGCTCGAGAGCTCTCTTTTGGCAAAATATGAAACGTCGCGAACGCCTCTACAGTCCAACAACTGTTTTTTTTTTATTATTGAATGAAAAGGGATGAAAAAATGTGTAGGCAGTGTAGGAACATTGCTCTACATGTGTTCGATCAACAGCCAAATCTATTGGATTTCAGAAAGCGGCATTATAAGATAGGGATCCAATGGTAGGTCTTCGGTGCATGCACAATAATGGACAACGTAAGCTGAACCGACCGAGCAACCACCATGCGATAGTAGTGGCCCGCTTAGAAACGAGAAGTTTAATAACCCCAAATTGCCCCCCTCCCCCCACCAAAAAAAAAAAGAAAGATAATTAAAGAAAGAGTTTGCAGGGTTGAGCTTTCGTCGCAGGAATAAACTACGCTTTGCCGAACGCCCATTCCCCGTCCAAGTGTAGCGCTAGTGATGCGAAACAGGCGCCAAAGTTTTACAACAAACCGTTATATTATTCAAAAGTTAAAAAGTGATTTTCCGAAATTTTCGTTGGGAAAATGGCGGCCAACAGTGCTCTCGAATAAATGCAGCTGAGCGGCGCAAGTTACCGAAAACGGGCGAAAACGGGCTTCATTGTCCGACTGAAATTTTCAGGAAATCACTCGTAACTTTTCAACAATTAGATAATCGTTATACCCGAAACCTTGGCATCTGTTTCGGGCTGCTAGCGCCACACTTTGGGAGGGAAATGAGCGTTCGGCTATGCGTGATTTACTTCTTGCTAAACAAAAAAAAAAAAAAAAAAGATTTAACTTTTTTTGTTGTTGTTGGGGGAAAGGAGGGGGGGGGGGGGGGGGCAACCTAGGTGAAAAAAAGATGAGAATGAGAGCGTTTCGCTGCGGCTATCTCAACCAAGGTGTTCAGGCAAAGCGCACCACCACCCTAAAAAAAACGGTCAGTGAGTTTACTTCCCCGCGAAACACAGACACAGCCAATCACGGCGAACATTAGAAGGATCCCACGGAGTGAACAATCCCGGAATATGACCATATCTAAAGAAAAAAACAAAAAAAAACTCAATATTTGAAGGGACAATGATCGAGAGTATAAAAGAACGCGCTCATTGTTCTTGCTCAAATCGCATCTTTCGTATCTACTTGTATACCGAGCTTTATCGCAATGGCATCGCACTTCGCTTCCCGCGCTCTTTCTGGTACCAGCCAGAATTCACGTCTCGGGGTGAAGCCGCGGTTAACGCTCGGTCCTCGTTCACTCGTTCCAGCTTACTTTGCCCACGACTGTACGGTGATCATTATGAACCACTAAAACCAAGTATGTCGGAAGATAAACCTCGGCACTGTCTCCCTGCTAAATAATAATGCCGGCTGTGCCACTTCAAAAGCCAACGCATCCACATCCATATATGCGAAATGCAGGAGGGAAGAGAGCATTTGCTCTGTTAAGTGCTCGAGGAAAGCCACACTTCGAGCGAAATGAAGATTCCTAGTGACCTTGTACCATGCAGTAGATAATTTCTGATTACTCACTTCGACGAACGTCGCCTCGTTTCTCCGGTAGACAATGCCGAGCAAAATATCCGCTGCAAACGCCGGTAAGCGCTCGTAACGCGGCGTTCATAGCTCGCCGTTCAGTGCACGAAACGGCGCGTTAAGCGATATCATCGTCGGCACATCAGCCAGCACGAGGCAGTACTCGAAGCCGGCACATTTTCTCTCTGGTCTGCGCAAAATAACATGAAATTCATCGGATCATTCTGAAATCGCAGCTGCGGCCAACGTCGTTTACAGCTGTGAAGAGCGTGCTTTCGTTTTCCCGCCGATCTCCATCTACACTGGCTGTTCCCTTTATTTCGCTAAAACATTTTTGCTCTCACTTCGGCTACTTTTGCGAGATGCGACTCGTGAGTCATACGCAAATTTTCCCATCGCGGCGTGTTTTGTCGCCGGAAGCCACTTCGCGCGTATTCAAAGCGGTTCAACAGATCGCAGTGTTTACAGCGGTTACACGACGGTATTTCTTTTTCTTCAAATCCGCATTATTTCTTTTTACTCCGTTTGCTCAGTCGTGCGCTTTGTTGGTAGAACAGAGGGCGAACCCATGAAACATTTTGTGCCTTATGACGTCAGGTAGCGAAACCTGTCGCGTTTTACGACGCCACCGACGCGTCTCTTCTCATGCATGTAGATGTCGAAGTGGGATCGCTCGCCTTCCCACAAGTGCCTTCACTTGCCCGTAATGCTGTAAAGTGTTTTTTCCCTAAGGAAAAAAAAAGTATTATTTCAAATATATACCGGCGTGGGTTTATCGAACGAGTACTTTTAATATCTGCAGAGTGATTAAGAGATTGACCTCAAGTTAACGTACACGCAACTAAACGAAACGTGCCAAGTATTCAAGAAAATTACGACGTTCTTAGATTTAAAATATAAAGTTCTTAGCGTGCTCCAAAAACGAGTACTTTGATCCATAGACCGCGTGCGTGCCACTGACTTGAGCACAGTTACAAGTCACTGTAATATTTCGCTAAGCGTCGCAAGCCGCAAGGTCCTTGTAACTAAGTAGGCTTGCAATGACCAGTATACCCAGAAATGAACGCAAGCTCGTATCGGTCCGCGGCGGCCACCGCCCACCCACGCGACGCCGTTTCCGAGGATGCTCCTCCCGTTGGTCCATTGTGGCCGGAAGCCGACCGGGCATACGTCGCTTGCGAGCACGCCTCTGTCAGTCTAGTGTTGCCACCGCCGACGCGACGTCGTTTGCTCTTGCGAGCAAGGTCATCCACTGCTGCCGCGGCGCCCCGCCACCGCGTTTGCGTCGCCATT